ACTTTTATTTACCAGAATTAATCATTAACCACATGTCATGTCTGTCTTCTTGTAGGGATTAAGTTTTCTCCAAGAAGTAATTTACCTTGCTTGTTTGTGGATGATCTCTAATTATTCTCATTGCAGGAATAGACTGTAACTTAGTAGTTTGGTTTTTGTTTTTTTTTTTCCTAAGAGGCACGATCCTCCTGCATAATACTCCCCAAGGAGAATTATAAGTACAATTTAAAGATCACCAAAAATCCAAACAATATTCACTTTACTATAAATTCAGTATCCTAACACTCAGTATCCTTTATTATACATTTGATTAAAAAGGGCCGAGATTAAATGGTGGCCTTTCCACAAAATGGGAGCATTTTATCCCATAAAATGTAACAGGGCTTTCATGTCACATGAGAATATGAGAGCTACCTGAAATTTTGGTCAGTTAAATAATTTTATCGTCATTCTTAAAATCCTGTAATTATCATTCATAACTTTCTCTTTATCCATATTTCATATTCCTCACATACTGTCATCAGCTGTTTTTACACATTAATATTGACAAAACTCAACTTTGAGCTTGGCTTCCTCAAGACTCATTTCCTCTTAAATAACAAAATATTCCTTCTGTCTTTCCCACTGTTGAGTTATATGCTAAATACTCAATTACAATTTTGCGTATTTATTCATCATGTAGGATGAGATATATGGGAAATTATCTATGTGGGTTTCCTGTAGCCTCAGGCAACTAATGATAAGACATCAACTTTTCCAAAGGGATTTTCCATGTACAGACAATGCTACAAGACTTTCAGAGTAATATACCTAGTGGCAAGAAGCCAGAGTTTTATGAAGATAATATTATGACTTTGTTCAATTTAACTTGATAAACTTGGAGAGATTCTTTTCCTGAGACAGTTCATTTCATACAAAGCATGCTAATACTTATCTCCTTTTTTGTCACAGCAAAGTCTACCTTTGCAAGTGTTGTGCTCTATTTAATGATGGTGTTACCAATGCATAACTTTGGGATGAGCATCAGCAAATACTATGATATCCAGCATGCAAAAAGACTTTGTTCTTCACTGAATATTGTTTCTACTTACATAAATTGTAGGAAAGAATGTAAGTTCCTGGGGCCCCTCAAAGATTATCAGAGTTGGAATTAGTTTCTGATTGATTGCATGTGAAAAGTTCTACGTTCATTATTTTTGAATCTTCACAATTCATCAGTTACGTATGTAGTTATCCCTACTATGCAGAAAGTATAATATCCTTCCTCCTCTTCAGTTTTCTTGAATTTGGCAGTTAAAGCAAAAATGGTAACACTATCTGATAATGTTCTTGGAGTATGCAGAGGGAAGATTTAAGACGGTTATAAATGGGTACAATATAGGGGATGTAAATCATGAAGCATTTTATATAGCTTATTGAATTAATTAGAGGATAGCACTGTGTGATAAGTTGTATACGAGCCATCACTATGAAATTCTTAAGGTGATAATACTAAAAGAAGATAAAATGTAATGTTATAGTTGAATTTTAGAGCCAACATAAGCATATTCCTGATTACATAGTTATTTTTCAATTTGTAAAAATGCATTGAATCATATATTTAAGTGAGTGTGTGTGTGTGTATATATATATACATAT